GTGCATGTATATCAATATTGGTAGATGGTAAAATATTGGAGGAGAAAATAATACCGATTATATTTATTTTTATAAAGACAGAACTCTAAAAAGAAGAAAGTGGGGAATTTGCCATTCTCATGCTGACATCTGGCTGATAGTTTATGTTGATGTGACTCACTTTTAGTTCTTTCTGATTGTCCCTAGCCTTTAACAGGTCTGTGATGGTTGTAGGAACCCAGCAACCTAGTATGTATGATTTGTAATTTCAAAATTACAAATTTGGCTTCCTCTGAGAGGCCATGTCTATGCATATAAGTAATTTTCAGTGGGTTAATATAAAATCAATAGGATTCTTTCTTTTAATAGATGATCATTTAAATGGAATAACTTTTTTTCATAGAACAAATCATCTGTTTGTTGCCTTTATTTAACATTTAACCCTTAACTCTTGGTAGTCTCGCAGAGCAGTAAGATATCTCTGAAAATGTAATCGAGTTACTGTATTTGAGAGGACTTCCCCCTATAATTCCAAATGTATTTGAAAAAGCAAGTCATTTTGCAAACAGCTGTTTCTGTTAAGAAATTAATTGACAAAATGTCATTTTCAGCTTCATAGGGTCCTCTTCTTATTCTGATAGTAGAACTTTCTGTCATGAACATAAAAAGTACATTTCTCAGGATTTTTCTACCACCGAGTATATGGAAAACCTTATATCTGACAGAATCTCCTAGTTCCCAAGACTTAGGTGGGATTTGAATCTCTACAATGCTACTTTTTTTCTCTCAGTCAAAGGCTTTGACCGCATTTGTGAAAAGCTTAAAGATAAGAAAGGGAAATAGATTGAATTTTGGAAGTTTTATAAATGCTTTTCAACTTTTCCTTTGTCATCAACGTTTTTGATGCAGACATATTTTGGAAATTTCATTGGCAATTTTCTCCCCCTGCTGCTTTCTGGATGCATTTTCAAAAAGAGTAGATAAGAGAAGGAAGCTGGGAGATTCATAGGTGTAGTAGCACTTATTTCAGCAGAGAATCACTTTCCTATTTAATCACTTTGTTATTTTCTTAACTCAGTTACATAGTCTAGATGACAATGGTTTGTTTTTAAGGCCAAATGAAGTGGGAAAAGTGAAACTGAGGCTAGCATAATGTTTTCGCTCTAATATTTTCAATACTTTTAAAAATTATGTGTGTATATGTAGGGGAAGAAGAAAAAGATCTGCATGGCTTGACAGTTCTTTGCTGCTGTTTTTAGTATATAGTCAGCTCTGCCAGTGGATGGTGACTGTCATAGATACAAAATTTGTAATCCTTTATGACATGGTCTAATATTTTGAACTGAGCACATGGCAATTCTGAACTTCTTGGTCTTCTAGAGGACATGGGACACTATTGACTTGGCTTGGGAAACCTGAGGTGTGATTTATTTTCAGACCAAGAATCATTCTGGGCTGTTATAGACCCAGTGTGAGAGGGTATCTTGTGGCCCATCCAAAGTGCTTAGCTGACCTAAGGACAACATTAGAATCTTTCTTTAAAAAATAATTCTCACCCAAGGATATTTTTCCATTGATTTTTAGAGAGAGTGGAAGGGAGGGGGAGAGACAGAGAAACATCTCTTGAAAGAGACACATCAATTGGTTGCCTCCCGCACATGTGCCCCCAATCAGGGCTGGGGATCAGCTTGCATCGAAGTACACAACCGAGGTACATGCCCTTGACTGGAGTCAAACCTGGGACTCTTCAGTCTGCAGGCCAACACTCTATCCACTGAGCCAAACTGGCTGGGGCAACATTGGAACCTTTTTGTTCATAGGCATTTATTTCCCAAAGGACAAAAACAGTAGGTGTTTATATATTGTGCTGGGCAGTTCTTTCCCTGCCTTTACCCCACCCCATTCATTCACGCTTACCAAAAAGCCTAATTCCCTACAAGGACTAAAGCAAATGTTAGCCAATGTCAAAAAAGTTTGCCCTCCCTCCCTCCAAACTCCAATTAAAATTTTTTTGGTGTATAATTAAGTCTGGCCTTTTGAAGACTGAATACTATACAGAGGAGATTTATTATCCTGAGTTCTAAAGTTGTTTTGAAAAAAAACTGAAGGGCCTTGGTTTTCTTTTTGAAATATTGTGTTTCAAAGATAACATTCATATAAAATTATTTGGTCTTCTCATTTACTGTTTGGGTAGAAAATGCAGATATTTTTGTTCTTTATAAGCTTTCTTTAACATAAGCAACAGTTTCTGATAAGGTACTATTGCTCTGCATCTGCATTTTATAAAGTTAAATTATGGATTCTGTCATTAAAAAGAGAATAGTTTATAAATCAAGTAAAATTTCATATGTAAGTTTTTAAAAAAAATCATGCTGCCTTATATTCCATAGTTCAGTTTTAAAACTCAACTTGATGTAATGTTTAAAGAGTAATTCTTTTTCTATTTCTATATACTGTTTTGCTTTGTGAAAAAAATGTCATTAGTTTCCCAGGATAAAAGCTTAAGAAAAGTTATTATATGTAAAGGAAAATTATATAAAAACACAAATGCAGGTAGTAATTCTTTATCTGAAGATTGGTAGGACATGTGCCAAATACGCCCTGTTTTCTCCCTCCTTTCCTTCCTATCCTGTCTCTGGTTGTATTCAATGTAAATGATGTTAAAACTCTAAATTGTAACAAAAGTCAAACTCCTAATTATTTCTTTCCCCTTTTAAAAAAAAAGATCGCTTGTTTGGAATTTCTGAAAACATGAGATAGTCCTCATTATACAGCTTTTTTGGGGGGGAGGGTTACAAATTGTGTTCTGTGTAAATGTCTATGGTTGTGTTTGCCACTTGTCTGGGAAAGCTACCAGGGTGGGTTTACACTTCTAAGGCAATCCTGCTCAGCAAGTGCCTAATTTCTTTTTTCATAGCTTGTTATGTAACTTTCCGAAAGTATGGGGATTTGAGTAAGGGCCCTAAATGTGAGTATGCAGGGAAAGAGAAAATAGTCTAATGCAGCTGTGGGCAAACTACGGCCCGTGGGCCGGATCCGGCCCGTTTGAAATGAATAAAAATAAAAAAAAAGACCTTACCCTTTTATGTAATGATGTTTACTTTGAATTTATATTAGTTCACACAAACACTCCATCCATGCTTTTGTTCCGGCCCTCCGGTCCAGTTTAAGAACCCATTGTGGCCCTCGAGTCAAAAAGTTTGCCCACCCCTGGTCTAATGGGAAGAAAGGCCAGGAGTAAGTTATTTAGATCTGGTTAGGGGGCAGGATTTCCGAAAACCGCTGCAATTAGTAATAAAAAGGACTGAAATTCAGAAGAGGAGTCCGAGAGATAGAGATTTAAGATCTGAGCAATTACTGTGATATATGAAATTTCACAGGAGTTTCATTACCCAAGGGAAAAGAGAGTGGAGAGGAGAGCAAATGATTTAGGACCAAACTTTGGGGAAATCTTTAATGTTAGGGTGTGAGAAGCAGAAGAGAAATGCTGAAGTATAAACTAACATGCTTGGCTGTGGAAGACACAAGTACCACTGCTCCCCAAGGCTGTTAATTCTGAGCCAGATAATCTCAGTTATGCTGGGTTGAGACTGGAGAATCTAGGGACTAAAATCCTTGTGACTATCTCTGGCTTGGTGCAGGTTGTGGTAAGTGTAACACAGAGGCTCATGGTATCTGTTGCAAGGCATATTAATGAGGGAGAATCTTCATTATTGTGATATTTAGTGCATATAAAAATTTATTACAGCCATAATATGTGCTGAAATTATATAGCTATTCTTAGGCTACTTTTATGAATTTGGGAAGATTGGGTTAATACCATTCTCAACTCTTAACTACTAATAAATTTTCCTTTCCCAGGATTTGCAGAGAAATGTAAAGGTACATTGAAACTAAGATATTATTTGATTTTATAAATCAGTTAATTTGATTGAAAATAAATTGATCAATGGGAGAAACAAAAGGGCAACCCTGACAGAAAACAATAGTTGAACCTCTAATTTCTCAAGCCACATTTTAAGTTGTACTCAGCTTCTTGGCAGAGAAGGTAAAATAATAGAGCCACCTCATCCCAGTGACCTGATATTTAAAAGAGCAGCTGCAGTACATTTGGTTTTGCATCATATGTAGCTCTATAAAGTTTTGAAGGAGACAACTTGATTCTCAGCGAAATTATAAGAAGGCTTTAGTAACAAGATAACTAAATGTGGAGAAATGATTGTGAGAACCATTTAGAAATCATAAATAAGGAAAATTCACGGCATGTGTTCAAAACACTTGATGAACTAACTCATTTTCTCCTGGATCAAAACAAAAAAGTTGCCTTTTTTTTATTCACCCATCTCTAGCATTTGTGGGGGTGAAAATTGCTTGCAGTTTTGTTTGCCTTAAACAAATTCTGGTGAACCCAGTAATCTAAATGAATCATTAGCTGCTTTATATACTCATGAGCTAACCACAACAGGTCATATTTGACAATGTAATATCTGTCCAGTTTTGCTACCACATAGTAAACACCATCTATAGTAGCCGGGTCAACATTTAGGCAACACTAAAGACGCTTGGTTCCACAGGACTGACATATTATTCTGTTTGGAAGTGCTTAAGCCATCAATAAAACATTCATATAGCTGTGGCTCCAAAATAAACTTTGGTCTCAATTATCCAAGTGATCTAGAGCCATTGCCTCTGGAACCTAAAGAACAACATGGCTACCAGGCATAGGGATTTATTCTATGATTAAAAGAATGTCAGTGGATTTCAAGATTTTTTCTCACATTGTACGGGTTCAGGGAAAAGAACTTGAGACCCTAAAATGTCCAGAATAATGGATCTAAAATTTAGAAAATATATTTATGCGTATGTCATATATTTATATATATTCTTTCTCCACCCCTCAATTGAGGGACAATTTAACGTTTTCCCTTGGTTTTCTCATTGTTTGATACACTTTTATTTTTCTTATCCATATCAGATTTTTAGAAAAATTAATGAAAATTACTCTAATTCTTCATTTTTAGGGTCGATGTGCTAGAGAGAATTGCAAGTACCTTCACCCTCCTCCACACTTAAAAACGCAGCTGGAAATTAATGGACGGAACAATCTGATTCAACAAAAGACTGCCGCAGCCATGTTTGCCCAGCAGATGCAGTTTATGCTCCAAAATGCTCAAATGTCATCACTTGTAAGTCACAGCATTGTTTTTAAAAATTGCATATGTGTACTTTTTTTTAAGAATATATATCTACATTGGAATAACCTTTCAGGGCCTTTGGGAAGTTAGTTACAGAAGGATTTAGGACCCAAGCTAATATATTAATTGACACCACAAAGCTGCCCTGCATGTGAAGGGAGCAATCAGGTGTGTTCAATTTAAAATCTGGGCTGTATTTAAACATGAATTCAGTTTATAGAAAAATATCAATAAAGGAACGGGCATTTTAAGATGAGGAGGAGGTTTGATTATTATTACATGATGTAAATCTGTGAATTCTACGATAGTAAATTCAAACAGTTTTTGATGGTTTTATTGTTACTTTTTAATAGACTTTTTATTTTAAAATAATTTTAAATTTAAAGAAAAGTTGCGAAGATAGTGCAAAAGGTTCCCAAATGATCTCTTAATATTTTTCCATGGTATTTTTGTCAAAACTAAGAAACTGACATTTACACATTACTGTTAACTAAACTCCAGACTTTATTCAGACATCATCATTCTTTGTTCCAGTGTCCAATCCAGGGTACCACAGTGCATTTATATGAATCTGTCCCCCTCTCTCCTCTGGTCTGTGACCGTTTCTCAGTCTTTCCCTGTTTCCCATGACCTTGTCAGTCTTGAGGAATACTGGTCAGGTATTTGATGGTGGATTTAATTTGACCTAGCCACAGAGTTTTCCTTTGCAGAAATTAATAAGATTATGGTGTCATTCTAGACCAGTATCTACTATTTTTGTGGATCAGTGAGCTTAGATCCTTTAAAAGCAAATTTTTCCTATTGATAATTCATCTTGTTTTGCTACCTTAAAATATAAAGTTGCAGTTTGGTCTTTCAGGAGGAATTGAAAACTCCCTTTTCTACTGAATTTACCAGGTCTCAAATTTAGTTCAGTGGTGTCTCATTCTAATTCTAGCCGGCCTACTTGTTTTAAACCATTAACAAGATACTAACTTGAAAGGTTTATGTTATCCTGTTACCTATTTCATCAGTGCTGATGAATGCTGAAAGATGTATATAGTATTTAAATACAATGAAAATGTGGGTGCAGAGAGCGGATTGACTATTCCATTATAAAGTTGATTCTCAGAATTAAAGGAGATATGTGTAGATAGGACACCCCTTAAGTACTCCATATTTATAGACAATGCACAAAACAGGTGGCAGGGGCATTGATGAGTCACTAAAATTTTGCACTATGATTCTCATTTCCCAGAACATCTAGACAAATTTAAGTAAAAATACATAGATTTCATGTTATATCAGTTTGCAAAAATATGTATATATATATTTGCCTTGGAATTCATTGCTGATTAATTATGTTATAAATTAGTTCCCAGAAAGTCACCAGTGAGCTCCTCAGAGCTCCTCTTTGGCCTTCAGGATTACTTTACATGGTTGAACTCCTTCAAACTAGGCTTTCACGCACAGAAATATTTACATTTTTTCCTACTTCTAAAGTGGTAGGGAAGAGAAAATCTAGATACTGAGACAGGATAAACAAAGCCACAGAAGACTGAATGTGCTTGGTGAGTCCAGAAAATGTGAGTAGATGGGGAATAAACTAAGGGAGTTTTTTCACCCATCCTTACTACTCTCAGCCTCTCGTGGGATGTCCCAATTTCAGACTGAACAAAGAATAGGAGCCAGATTTTATCACACACGTGAGCCCAGCCTTTTCTATAGAGTTGGAGTGTATATATTTTCACAAGTTAAGAGAATCATGAGTGGGGGGGAGGATGGGGGTTTAATGGGGGGGGGATGAGGACACATTTGTAATACCTTAACTAATAAAGAATTTAAAAAGATAAAAATAAATAAAAATAAAAAAAGAGATAGCATCAGGGCAGCAATCAAACGCCTGTTTCAGGGAATCAGAGCAAGGCCTAGGCTAAAGTAGGGGTAGAGACAGAAGGTGGACTATTCATTTTCTATTCAGATTCTAGTAGAGTTTCTCCATTCCCAGTCTCAACCCTTTATGCTTTATCGATCATGATGGCTCACACTGGGGAATAGGGGATGGCTTTCTTTAGAAACTAAGAGATACACTGAGTTTTCTGGCCTCTTGTGCCTTCTAATTAGATTCTTCTTGCTTTTTATAATAGAATACATTTGCCTTATTTCTTCAGTGAGGGTAATTTTAGATTTCAGGCTGTAGAACATGACTAATATGACTCACAGGAATACAATTTATTTTATAGCATATCACAAGATGTAGGTCATTACTTATAAGACCCCGGGGAACAATTGGAAATTGTTTTTCTAACTTGTGGATTATGTATTTAAAAATAGCTGTTGTGATGTCATAAACTGATAAAAGGTTAATTTTCGCAGTTATTACAAGTTAAAAAAATTAACTCCAAGCATTATGCTAAGTGAAATAAGCCAGTCAATGAAGGAAAAATACCACACGATCTCACTCACTCATGGATAATAAAGACCATTATAAACTTATGAACAATAATAGATACAGAGGCAGAGCTGCCTCAAACTGATTGTCAAACTGCAGCGGGAAGGCCGGGGTGGGTTGGGGGGCAGGAGGGAGCGGGGTAAGAGATCAACCAAAGGACTTATATGCATGCATATAAGCATAATGAATGGACATAAGACACTGGGGGTAGGGGAGGCCAGGGGATTGTCAAGGGCGGGGAAAAAAAGGAGACATATGTAATACTCTTTGTAATACTTTAAGCAATAAAACAATAAAAAAATAAAAGAAAAGAAAAAAATTAACTCCACAATGGTTAATATGATCCTCTTTTGAGGTCTAGAAAGCTGCTTTGTAGGCATGTTGTTATTGAGCTAGTGACAATTTTAAATGACATTTACCATTGTGATTCAAAAGAAATGTTCTTTATTATGGATTTTGATATAACTATAACAGTAACAAGATTTTAATTAATTTCTCTGGCACCTACTCTCCCCAGACAATCCTTGATCCCTTTTAACACCTACCATAATGTGATTATTTTCTCTAAAATAGTCACGTTTTGTTTAAATTTTCAATCCTGATGTTTGTATGGTTGTATATTAAGACCTATATGATATCACTGGCTTGAACTTCAGGTTTTTCCACAAAATATACTTTGATCTGTTTCTAAGATACCAGAAGAGCACATCTGCTTTTGGAAAACTGAGTATGGTTTGCTTATTATAAGCCCTCAGCTAAAGGGAATTTTTAAATTCCCTAAATGGGATGGTAGCTAGAGAACAGATTCTGTTCAGTGTGACTGAACAATGAATAAAAGCCACACCTAGTCAATTGGGATGGAATGCTTGTTGTAGCGGGCAAGTTTATTCACTGTATTTAACAGGCCGGAATTTACATTTGCTAGTATAAATTTCCACCTCTGAAAGCGTTTTTTAGCCCTATGGAGGAAGTTGAGCAAGTGAGAGAAACCGTGTGACCCCTTAATATTTTTCAGTGTTGTTTAAGAGAATTTCTGATGTTCACAGCAAAAAATTATAAGTTTAAGAACTCACGTTGGCATCATTAGGGAGGCAAACTTGAGCACTGTACAAGAATTTTAGGAAAAGTAGACACACTGGATTACTCTCAAACAAAGCTAATGGTTTAAAATTTTAATTTCACAACTAGGAATTTTCATTACAGGGAGAAAGAAGTCTCTCTGCTGGATGCAATATATATCGGTATAAAGTGCACACGGTGTTATAAGGCTATTAAAATATTTCTGATTTAGACATTTCACATAATCCAGACCTGTCCATATCTAGTAAATTTCTGTAGTTTCTCTCTGAATGTGTTGATTCACATGGAGGCAGTTCCTTACACATAGGTAAACTTGACTCAGTCGAGTGTATTCACCTGATGATTTATACAGAGATTATTGCCTTGGCACATTTGGCTCACCATCAAGGTGTGCCAAATCTGCTCTGCTTTATGCCTTTCATGGCTTGCATTCCTGTGGCCAGGTTATGGTGTCCCAAACCACAGAGGTTATAAGCATGGGTTTCATTCCAAGTTTTTCCTTCATTGCAGATAGAATCATCTGATGTCCGCTGGGATCCTCCCCACCTTTTAAAATGTTTTTTATAGTTCTATTTATTAAGTACATGTATCATAAACAAGCTTATATGTTTATATGACGTTAATATAGTAAGAAAGGAAGGTTATGTGACACTTCAGAACCCAAAGGGGAAAGATAGGAAGTTCTAATAGATAGGAAGAAGGGAGATATACTAATAAATAAGTAATATCATTATTGTTAGAACCTAATATTTTTAATGTTTTCCTTCTTTTTAAAATGGGAGCTATAAGGTATGTATCAGTATATGAAACTTTGGACTAAAACAGTTTTAATTAAGTTGAAAGAAAATTGCAAAATATTTATTTACTTTATAATTTTTGAAAGAGTTTAATGGTTAAATAATTTAGTAGTTTATGACAAAAGGATAATATCTTTCACTCATCAAGGCACATTACACATTTTGCATATTAGCATCAGAGTACATTTTTTCTAGTTCACATAAACTAATTTTATTGACTGAATTCTTTTTTTTTCCCTAACATTTTTTATTTCTTTTTTTTTAATTTTTTTATTGCTTAAATTATTACAAAGAGTATTACATATGTCTCCTTTTTTTTTTAAATTTACAATAAATAAAAAAATTATCATGAAAAAGGTAGCCAAGGTATTTTGTAAATTTCGAGGAAAGGGAAACTATGTCCATATTCCAGATTACTAGTCTTGTGTATTTTAATGGCGGTTCTTCAGTGGATTTCTCAGTTTACCCACTTGCAAAATGACAAGTACCTGTTTCATATGGATGTGGTGACATTGAATGTCTTGTAAAGTGATTTTTGCAAAATGTCCAAGTCAGTAGATTGTAAGGCTAATGTGTTCTTAATATAATTATGACTGCCATTATCATGTGAAGTTCCATAATGACAAGTTGACCAAATCACATCACAAGAGTGGATGGAGTAAAACCATACTATGAGCTCAAAT